AAATAACAAGTGTAATATCCACTAAAGCAAAGCTTAAGTATATAACACCAACATTTCCTTCTTTCTCTCTCTCGGTTTTTTCAGTTTTCTGTGTTTTGTAATTGAAGATTTCAAAGTGTTCTTCGTGTTCTTCACGATCTTCAAAGGATTCTGGGAAGTTAGCATTAGATCTTTTCTGTCCGTCCCTTACCAATTGCATCGTGTTCGCGGGTGACTCGTCTTTAAGGGATAAGGTCCACCTAGCATTTCTCCGTATGTCAACTTATGTCGAATTAGTATTCCTCCTAATTGTCTTGCTATTCAATTCTTCTTCATTCCTAGGACCGAGTAAGTCGAGTAAGAACTTCTATGGTCGACTTGTGGTCCCTGAATTTTCCATAAGTCGATGTATTTTCGTACCTCTGCGATGTTTTGTTCTTGTGTACTGATCATCACTTCTCTAATTTTTCCAATAGATTCCGAATCCGAATCTGTCTCTGGCTCTATTCCCGGCTCCCTTGTCCGTCAAATAGAAAAATATTCGGGCTCTGATTCCGTCAAGATAATTGGCTCTAGGCCAGCGGTTGAGCAAGAGAGATCGCATAGCTCATCTACCTTGATTTTCGGTTTTAATTAAGATGAATACGACCAAGCGCTTTTATCAGGCGTTCAAATGAATAATAGGAGTGATCCCACTCGGGGTAGTGACTATCCTCGACTTAACCTTATTCCTCGAGGTATTCCCCTTAGGCTTTTAGACATTCCTTTATATAGAGCGAGTCATATCTCTTTTTCAATGATAACTCATGTTTTTTATCCTTGAGATGTAACCATAGCTTGTCCATTAGTTAAACTAGCTGTTCTTCACCCGTTTTCTTGTGCATCTGCAGCAGAAATCGAGGGATTTAGGTCCTTCAGTGGTCTTCCTTCCGACTAGGAGTTGGTCGCTCCTAGTACCAATGACGTCTTCACTCATCCTCCTAAAGGCTGTTATACGTTTTTTGTTGACCAAATAATGTTCGGCTTGCGTTTTCCCATCCAGTCAGAACTTCTGTCAATTAGTAATATGTATAGTGTACCTATAAATCAATTTTCTCCCAACTCTATTCGCATCATGGTGGCTTTCATTATCATTTCCAAAATAAAGTTCGGCCATTTTCTGCCCGAATTTCTTTTGTATTGCTATAGTTATCGCTATAAAAGACTCCCACTGCTTGGGTCGTCGCCGAGGTGTCACCTTCCTCGAGGATCTTTCCTCGAACGTTAATGAATGGAAAACCAAGTATTTTTACATCCGACCTGCCTTCGGTCAATATCCTTTCACCAACGTTTGGATAACCAGCAAAGTAAAGCAGGACCACAATTGCCTTCAATCGAGTCAATTCCAGGCCATGCTAGATGACTTGAATAATTTCAAATGGAGTGCCCATTTGCCGGTTAAGGATAGTGCTTTCCTTAACCATGTGGGTCTTTGGATTGACGAGGACGCCCCTCGGATCGATGATCCTAGTAAGCTCATATGTTTTGAGCATC